GCTTGATATTCCTATAACTTCTGACTTATTCAGTTTTGATTCCTGTGAAAACATGGATTGGTTGTGGCAGATAGTTTTGGAACCCAGTGACCATTCTTTTGCCCTCTTCTTCCTAACTAGTAGAACCTGAATTGTGTTCAGGCATTTACTCTCCAGTGTGCTCTGGAAAGGTAACAGTCCCCTCAGTCCATGGGGTATATCATGATTAGCCTGAGTTACAATGGTTGAGGACAATTTTTCTTGAAGCTTCTTGGATAGGTTTTCTAGTTTGATAAAGGAAGGTACCCCATCAACTTCAACAATAGTTGTTATATCTTCATGTAATGCTTGGAATTGTTTCAGCCATTTACAATTATGCAAAGAGACATCACAGGAATACCAAGAATGATGGAGTGGAAAGATGGTCCTGGTTCCTTTATGACATTTTTTGTCCTGCTAAATTAAGCAACTGTGCAGTAAAAGATTAACTCACCAGACTCAGAGTGTTAAAATTCTGTTCATTACAAAAATAAATAAATGAATGAATAAATAAAATAACTGGTCTTGGGGGTTCTGGGGGATAACTTCTAGTCCCGTGGTATATCCTGCTTAATGAGAGTATCATTGTATACCTGGGGCTTTGGATCACATATTATCAGCTTGACATCTGGAAAGACTAGAGAACAAGTAACTAAAGTCTATCAGGCAAGCACTCTGTGCCTATGTGACCAACCCCTAAAACAACTCTGTACACAAATGCTCAAGTGAGCTTCCTTAGTTGGCAACACTTTGTATGTATTGTCACATATTATTGCTGGGAGGAGTAAGCATTGTCCATGTAACTGCAATAGAAGAGGACAACTGGAAGGTAGCACCTGTTTTCTCTAGGACTCTACCCTATGCACATTTTTTCTTTACTGATGTTAATGTGTACTAACTTACTGTAATAAACTATAACCATGAATATCACCACTTTTCTGAGTTCTGTGACTCCTAGCAAACCAAAGAATGGTTTTATATCCCTGAAACAACAACCCTGGAAACACCCACCTCCATATTACATATTATCTGAATTAGGAGTGGGATCATTTCAAACTGTCAATTCTTACTGAGTTTCTATGTACCAAAGTGTATGAGTTATCACTAAGCTACAGCCCCTTCTCTGTAGTTATCATTAAAACTCAAATTCAACAGTTTACATTTATCTTATTTTCTGCCATCTTACCCAGATCAGACAAGCCTATCTTTTCAAGATTGTTTATAGGTCCTGACTATGTTACCAGCATTTTTGTTATTATTCCTTCCTCATTATTTGCCAAAGTGCATGAGATGTCATCAATCCTAATCAAATCTTTATGCTTGTATATCTTCCATAAGGTAAATCCCATGAGAATGGGAATCTTGTATGTCTTGTTCACAGCTATCATCATACCACTAGAAGCATACATATTTTTGTCAAAATAGATAAGAGAGTTTATCTCTAGGTAAATCTTTTTAACACATAAATTTACCCTAGCAATAGTAATATAATGACCCTTCAACATTCATGTGCAATATATTGTCTATTATATTGTCTACAACCAGCTAGGAGAAGAACACCTAGGAATAGAATGTATTTAAGAGTTCTTTTGATGTTTGTGAGATGAGAAAGAGGGAGGCCTTTTGAAGCATAAAAAAGAGCCCGTGGGGAAAGGTTTGGCTTGGAAGATACAGTAGGAAATTCTGACTTCAGCAGCCACATGACTATGCTAAACTTCTGGACAAAGAAGGGAAGAAAAAGGTAGCCAGGGGCATGTCTACTGAGACAGGAGTAATTTGAGTGTCTTACTTGCCACCAGTGCAAAACTTAAGGAGGGTTTTAAAAAACTCCATAATCAACATAATATTTCAATAAAATATATTTAAAAGTCAAAATTAATGCCAAAAATCATAACAAACAGAATAAAACTAGGATCAGTAGAAATGCTTGTCCACTCATTATCTATTCACAGTTTATAAGTGAGGCACCAAGAAGTCATGCACACAATGCTTCCTTTAATATTAGACTGATGAGTTTCCAGACATCCTATTATCTCTATCCATATGTAGCTTCTGCTTCCTCCTCCCCAGTAAAGACTTTTTGAGGAGTTACCAATGAATTTAAATATACTCTTTTGGAGATATGACCAGATTTCAATATGGCTTAGGTGTCATCAAACTGATTATACCTCAAATACCAAGCTATGTATTTTCCTATTTCCCTGTCTTTAAAATATGAACATGTATGCAACATGAATTATTTGAAATTTAACCATATATTTTAAATGTTCTTTCATCTTACACAATACAATGTTCCTTAACTCATGCACATGGCAGTAATCTGTTATATTTAGAACATATGACTGCATTTGATATATCAAATGTCTTTGGCAAGTGAAGTCAACCCAGTTTAATGAAAACTTGTCTGTAAGATAACATAGTAGAAAAACAATAATTTTCGTCTCATTATTCAACATAGTTCCTTCAAATTTATGTTGAAATAAGTTGGCCTAAAATTAATATTTTCCTAAAATAACTCAAGTAGTTAAAATAGTCTCAAATAATTTATGAATAGGCATCAAAAGTATGATATTCACAATTGGAAAGTAAATTGTTACCACCTTTTTGGGGAGTATTTTGGTGATATAGTTCAGTCTATTAAAATGGTCATTACTTCTGACCCTGAGGAAAAAGTTTATAATTCAATCAGAGTGACTCAATATAATTTAACATATTAAATACACACACACACACAACTGTGTTTTGTTTTGTTTTTTTATTAGAAGGGCTATGTTATTTGATGCAAAGGTGTCTCTGCATATTTACATGGCATGGATAATAGAGTGCCTTATGGCATCCAAGACACACACAACTTTTAGTGTTGACAGTGGGTTGCTTTCCCAGTCTCTGGAAAAAGTTTAGTTTTGCCCAGGTCAAGGACTAGAAGCTCACCGATCATGGCACCATCATTTCCACCTAATCTCCAGCAGATCTAAGTCCCTACTTCCCAGTCACGAGGGTTTAAAGTACCCAGGGTTGTTGACCTGCAGGTGGGGGCAGTCGTTTTTCTACTACTACTTGGTTGGTGAGTTTCTTCCATCCAGCTTCCTGGTCCTCTGTCCAGAACAGTTTTCTCTCTCTCTTCACAATTAGTGAAAGAAACCCTGTTCCTCTAAACTTCTTTCTCCCTTGCATTTGAGTCACCGCTCTGCCTCTTCCCCTTCCTCTAGGCACAATTTTGTATAATCATTATGAGGGGTGTGTGTATATATATATATATATACACACACACACACACACATATATCTAGTAGTAGAGGACTGGTAAAATAAGTTGTAGTATATTAAGACTACTATGAAACCATTAAAATAACATTTTTAAAATAGTAAAATAGTTTTGAAATAAAGATGAGTTTAAAACCCAAGATTAAAAAAATGTATAAACTACATGATAGGAGAAGACATACACACATAATGACACAGAAAAAAACAGGAAAGAAGTGCAATAAAATATTAACAAAAGTTGAGAGGAAATGATGGGATTATTGATATTTTTTCTCCTTGTAATTTCTAATTTATCTTTACTGGTTACGGATTGCTCTTTTCTTTTCTTTTCTTTTCTTTTCTTTTCTTTTCTTTTCTTTTCTTTTCTTTTCTTTTCTTTTGACAAAATTTCACTCTCATTGCCCAAGCTGGAGTGTAGTACCATGATCTCGGCTCACTGCAACCACTACCTCCTGGGTTCAAGCGATTCTTCTGCCTTAGCCTCCCAAGTAGCTGGGATTACAGGAATCTGCCGTAACACCCAGCTTATTTTGTGTATTTTTAGTAGAGATGGGATTTCACCATGTTGGCCAGGCTGATCTCAAACTCCGGACCTCAGGTGATCCACCTGTCTCAGCCTCCCAAAGTGCTGGGATTACAGGCATGAGCCACCATGCCCGTCAGCCTATTTCTTTTAAAAATCAGAACAAAACTTGGTTTGGAAGTAAGAAATGTGGAAGAAAAGTAATGCTTCACCAGAATCTGAATACATGAATTATATATTATTCCATCAAGTGGACAATTACTTGTTGAATATACCTGATCATGTACAGATTCCAAAGTCGAGTTCTGGTTGCACTGATCCTCTACACTGAGTTTAATAGTCTGTGCCCAAGTTCAAATTTGGAGAGGATAAACTGGAAAATTAATGATATTTTAATGACTGTATCTTTATGCAGAGTCTTGTATGCTACGTACACTCCTGTTGGGGATGGACAACCACTGTAAAACTATAAGCAGAGAAATGTTTGCATACAAGAAAGGTAACTCAGTTGGTAGTGAAGAATAGTAAGAGAGGCCAGGTTATGCAGGTGAGGAAGTGGAACCAGAGAGTCCTTTTAAATTTTGTAATTTAATATTGAATACACATAAGATAATATTGATAAAATTTTTGTAAAATTTAAGAATTAAACAAAATAAACAATCACATTCCTACCTTCCAGCTCAAGAAATAGGACATCACCAGTTGAAAGCTTTCAAGAGTTCCCCCTCTGCTGTGAGTCCAATCCTATCCCTCCTTTTCTCCACCGGAGGTAACCACTGTCTTGAATTTTATGTTTATTATTATTTTGTTAAAAGTTCAACATATGTTTATGTTGAACTTTATGTTTATTATTATTTTGTCTCTGTAGTTTTGTCATGAGTGGATATTCCTAAATATCTACCCTCTCTAAAGGGCAGCCTTGGATTTTCACAGTGAACAACTTTTATGGCCTCTCAATTGTTTAGTTTTGCATGTTCTTGAACTTTATATCAATGAAGGCATGCTTTGTATTTTCTTCTGTAATGTGTTTGGTCATTCAATTTTAAGTTTATGAGATATATCTATGTTGAATTTTGTAGCTATGGTTTGATGATTTTTATGTTATATAGTATTACATTCCATGGATAGCTCTCAGCAGATAATCCTCCTATTGTTTAACATTTGCATTGCTTCTCATTTTGACCTATTGTAAACAGCCCTCCTTAAATATACACTTCTCTTTAGTGTATGCTAGCAGTGGAGTGTCTGGAATAAAGATGGCTGAATCATCTTCAACTCTAGTAAGATGACAAACTGTTTTCTAACAGTGTTTTAGTTTAACTATTATATGTCAATTTTGAACAGTTCTTTCACTTACTAGCAATTTATTGTCAGCAAAACTTGTTATTGTCAGACTTTTAAGTTTTCATTCATTGGGTAAAATGACATCTTTTTGTGGTTCTAATTTGCATTTCCATGCCTACTAATGAATTTGAGCTTATTTTAACACAATTATTGGTCATTTTTATTTCCTCTGCTGTGAAGTGCCTATTCAGGATTTGTTCATCTTTTTTTTTTTTTTTTAATAGTTTGCAAATATGTTGCCCAGTTGGTGGCTTCACTTTTCACTGTCTTCAGTATTACATTTGATAAAGAGAAGTTCTTAAACTTCAATGTGATCATATTTGTATTTTGCTCATTTAAAAAAATCTGGTTAAAGAAATACTTCACAAATATGACATTATGATATATTATCTTCCAAAATTTTAATAATTTTGGGTTTTTTTTTCACATTTCAGTCTTTAGTTCAGTTGGAATTCATTTCTGTGTGTGGTGTGAGATAAGAGTCCTTTTCATGTTTTTCCCTATGAAATAAATTATTTCCTTCTGTATTGCAGGTAGTTGAAACCAGTGATGCTGACCTCCCTCTAAAAGCTGCATTTCTGAATTTCTGAAGGCGAACTGTCTGCCTATATTGCACAGCAAAATAATTTCCTGTATTAAAACGTTTTTGCTCTAAATTTCTAGGTTAAACTCTGCTTAGATATTGCTAAGGGGGTAGCCAAGTGTAGAAACTTAAATTTACTGACAGAAATCTAGAGAATGCTTAATTTTTTTCCAGCAATGAAGTAGAAGAGCCAGGGATATCCCAGAAGGGTATACAAAAGGGTATGCAAAACATCAAGAGAAGATCAGAGGGTAAGGTTTACAGATTGAGTTAATAGAATAATGCACAATGGGGTTTGGGTTGCATGAGAAACAGGGTCTATGGGTGTGTATTTATAAGTTCACATATACACAAATGCATACATATATGTACACACACAGGCAGCCCTCAACATTCTCATGATTGGCTTTTGTACATTATTTTTCAATTATTAATACCTCAAATTGCATTTATATAGAGCAATTGAACTTTAGTGCATCACAAAAGAGAAGAGACTTTAATTTCTAGTTCAAGAAATTGATGAGAAAGATCCTTAGAATTTATAGCACCTGGAGATCTACAAGAAAAACTAGTTTATTTTCTTTATTCATTCTTGAAATTTGAAATCAGTCTGTTGCGTTCAAGTTCTTAAATTAGTTGCATGTTGAGTTAATTAGAAAATATCACTATGACTACAATGACTTCCTACAAAAAGAGAGGTGGAATTTTTATGATTGTGGCCTTTAAGATTATCAGGGAACACTAGGAATAAAACCTAAGGTGTTGATTCACTCTGCAATGTAGGTTAGCTAGAGGATAATAACCCATGTGTTCTGATCCAGCAGCACCTCTTTTTCAGATTAGTGGATAAGTGCATCCAGTGGAGTCAGATTGCCTTGGGCAAATCATAGTTCTACCAATGATTAGTGTTGCCATCTTGGGAAAGTCATTTTACCTTTCTGTGTCCCCTTTATTCATGTTTAAAATGGAAATAACGACATAACTGCTTGATGGGGGTGTTGTTATGTTTAAATGCAATAATAGCACTTCAAAGTGCTTAGGGGGGTTACAGATGTGTCATGACTGTTCAACAAATGTTAACTGTTACTATGTTTATTATGTTTACCTAGTACTCTGTGATGTCAGTGGTAAGGATAAGAAAGATGAAAGCATCAGGAAAATGAAGATTTTAGCTTCATTCATTTAACAGACATGATTTTCCCACTCTCCTTCAACACTCACATATTAATTTCATATTTGTGGAAAGTTTTCACTTATAACACTCAGTATATACCACTTAGGATCATGAAGGGATATCCTGTAGGGCAGATGCACATGCAGAAGAATGAAACTAGACCCCTATCTCTCATCATACACAAAAATCAAATCAAATGGATTAAACACTTCAATCTAAGACCTCTCACTATGAAAATACTATGAGTAAACATTGTAGGATATTCGTCTGGGCAAAAATTTCTTGCCCACAAGCACAGGCAACCAAAGTCGAAATGGACAAATGGGATCACATCAAGTTAAAAAGTTTCTGCACAGCAAATGAAACTGTCAACAAAACACAGAGGCAACCCAAAGAATTGGAAAAAAATATTTGCAAGCTACTCAACCGACAAGGGGTTAGTAACCAGTATATATAAGGAGCTCAAACAACTCTACAGGAAACAAATCTAACAATGGATTAAAAATGGACAAAGGATTGGCCGTGCACAGTGGCTCACACCTGTAATCCCAGCACTTTGGGAGGCCGAGGCTGGCAGATCACGAGGTCAGGAGATTGAGACCATCCTGGCTAACATGGTGAAACCCCGTCTCTACTAAATATACAAAAAATTAGCAGGGTGTGGTGGCGGGCGCCTGTAGTCCCAGCTACTCTGGAGGCTGAGGCAGAAGAATGACGTGAACCCAGGAGGCGGAGCTTGCAGTGAGCTGAGATTGTCTCACTGCACTCCAGCCTGGGCGACAGAGAGACTCCGTCTCAAAAAATAAATAAAAATAAAAAATATAAATAAATAAATAAGTAAATAAATGGATAAAGGATTTGAGTAGACATTTCTCAAAAGAAGATACACAAATGTCAAAAAAGCATATAAAAAGTTGCTCAACATCACTGATTGTCAGTGAAATGTAAATCAAAACTACAAAGAGACATCATCTGACCTCAGTTAAAATGACATTTATCCAAAACACAGGCAATAATAACAAATGTTGACAAGGACGTGGAGAAAAGGGAAGGCTTGTACACTGTTGGTGTGAACGTAAATTAGTACAACCCTATGGAGAACAGTTTGGAGGTTCCTCAAAAAACTAAAAATAGGGCTATTATCCAATTCAACCATCCTACTGCTGAGTATATACCCAAAAGAAATGAAATCAGCATATCGAAGAGATACCTGCACTCTCATGTTTGTTGCAGTATTGTTCACAATAGCCAAGATTTGGAGCAACCTAAGTGTCCACCAACAGATAAATGGATAAAGAAAATGTGGTACATACATACAGTCATGAAAAATAACTAGATTTGATTATTTGCAATAATATGGATGAAACTGGAGGTCATTATTTAAGTGAAATAAACCAAGCACAGAAAGACAAGCAACATTGTGTGATCTCACTCATTCATACGATTTAAAAATCAAAACAATTGAACTCATGGAGATAGAGAACTGAAGGATGGTTACCGGAGGCTAGGAAGCGTAGTGGGGGAATGGGAGGAGGTGAGGATATTTAATGAGTACAAAAAACCAGAAACAATGAAAAAGACCTAGTATTTGATAGCACAACAGGAGGACTATGGTCAATAATAATTAAATTGTACATTTTAAAACAACTAAAAGAGTATAATTGGATTGTCTCTACACAAAAGATAAATGCTTGAGGAGATGGCTATCCACCAATTTTCCATGATGTGACGATTACGCATTGCATGCATTTACCAGAATATCTCATGTACCCCATAAATATATACACCTAGTATGTACCCACAAAAATAAAAAAATATAAAAGAGTGTTTGCATAGTGGATAAGTACCATAGAAATATTTGGAAGGGCAAGGAGAAATTGGATATTTTTGCAATGATGAAAGTATGTATTTCTGTACTTTGCCTGTATGTTTAAGTAAAAACTGACCACAAGATGTCACTGTTAACCTATGTATGGGAGGGAAGTGTGCCTTGAACAGCAGCTAGGTTTTGTGGGGCAGGTATGGTTACAAACCATTATTTTAAAATCCTTGGCAAGAACTAACCCTCAACATGTTTCAGTTTTTCGAAACCGCTGGAATGTTTTTAGACTTTGGAATTTTTTTTTTAGTTTTGCAGAATATTTTCAGTTGAATTCACACCCAAGTATATTTATTTGGAAATTTAATTTAAAACAATATGGTTTGCTAATGAAGTTGAAGCCTCTAGTCTCAAGTGGAGAATAAACCCACAAAACCACTCCGAGTTGGCATTACTCTTTTAACCAGGAACAATAGCTTTATTTGAACTAATGAACATTTCCTCCAGAAAAGATTTAATATAAGATGAAAAAGTGTCATAGAAGATGCTTTAAGGACTAGAATTGGTCTTACTCCCAAATAATAGCTTAGGAATGAGTGTGTTAAATTGGATTTTGTTACCTTTTCACTACAATATTTAAAAAATTACTTTGCATGTGACTTAGAAAGAAGTCTATTGTTAACCCCCTACTTTCCAGGATGCCTTTATTTAAACCTTCCTTAATGTAAGTTTTGATTTCCAAAGCAGATCCCATAACTCTGACTCTGTTATGATTTTGCTTTTTACTCCTCCTGCTTTCTCTAGAGTCCTTCTATTTCCCCTCATTTCTCTTCTATTGACCCTGCCTATACTATAGTCTCACACTTAGACCTCTGTTCTGAACCAATTCTGTTTCCTAGTTCATATGCTATTAGGCTGAGAGTTGGAAGGATTTGAGAAGTGTATGGAATAATCCTCCATTTTATTCAGTCTTGTTCAGTTGATTTAACAATAGCTACATGCCAGTCTCTGTGTTAGTGATCTCTAATTGAAAAATTGAGTAAGTCTCCTTCAAGAAAGTCTGCTCAAAGTTATCATGATTTTACAAAGCCCCTGCTGGGCTGCATGTGATTAGTTATTAAGCATTTTCTGAATGAATGAAAAACAATGACAAGTTCACTGCTTTGGAGATGGCATGGAGTATTAACAAAAGGAAAAAAACCCAAAACATTAGTTTGTACAAGAGGAGAGAAAGAGTTATAACTCTGAATCCACAGTTAGTTTTCATCACCTTCATCAAATCACTTATTGCCAAACTTTAATTTCCTCATCCGTAAAATTAAGAAACAAGACTAAAAGAGTTCTAGAGTACTTTTCATTTTTTCCCATTCTGTGAGAATTTAAGGTCACCTGTTTAACTATGGAAAAGTATTAATCGCTAGAAAGTTTTTCCTGAGTTAAACTTGATGACTCCTTCTCTGTAGCTTTTAGCTATTGGTCTTACTTCTGCCCTTGAGAACCACATAGAGATAAGTTCTTTCCTGCTTCTGCATAACAACCTTTCAAATACTTGTTGAAAATTGTCATTTAACTAAGCATCGTTTTCATTTTCTTAAACTCACCTTCAATTTTTTGCCATCTTAATATTAGTACTAATTTTAGGTCCCCATCATCTTGCTACTATCCTCTGATGTTGGAGGCTTACGATAGTCTTAAAATATGATGCTCAAACTGGAATTTGATACAACAGATAGTTGGAGGAATCAAGAATACATTGAGATCATTGATTTCCAGAATAATTTTTGTAGTCTAATGTCATTGCCTACTTTATTAATCAAATCTTCCAAACCTTTTGCCCATGAAATACTGTGACCCAGATTCCCACTGGTCTGATGAGTGTGTGCATTTATATACATGTCTGATATGTGTGTGTTTATGTATATGGCCAAAATCTACCTCTCCAGCCTTATACTGAACTGCAATGCTATGACCTCTAGGTTATGGCTGATTAAGTAGCAAAATAAATGTGTCGCCCAGGAGCGGTGGCTCATGCCTGTATTCCCAGCACTTTAGGATGCCGAGGCGGGCAGATCACAAGGTCAAGAGATCAAGACCATCCTAGCCAACATGGTGAAACCCTGTCTCTACTAAAAAATACAAAAATTGGCTCGGCATGGTGGTGCATGCTTGTAGTCCCAGCTACTTGGAAGGCTGAAGCAGGAGAATCGCTTGAACCCTCGAGGTGGAGGTTGCAGTGAGCTGAGATCACGCCACTGCACTCCAGCCTGGCAACAGAACAACACCCCATCTCAAAATAAATAAATAAATAAATAAATTTGTCCTCTTGGTTTCATTTTCTCTTATAATAACACAGGTCAGACACCACACAAGCCAAGATGTGTATGATATATATATATACACACATACACACATATATACACTATATATTTTATAGCATATATATTTATATATTTATTTTTACAGTATATATTCATTGTATCAATAGTGCTCATTATATAAATAGTATACTATTTATACAATAATATACAATATATAA